AGCGTGCTCCAGCCTTGTAGTACTGCTGGCATCTAGCTCCAAGAGAGTCAAAACCTTGAGTTGTTGTTTCGCCATTTGTCCCAGCCAATTCAACAACACCCTTGTCAACTTTGATGCCTGGTATGACATTGTTCTCTTGGAGAATTTCAACAAAAGGCTTCCCTTCTGAGGACTTCTGGTAAAGTGTTTCCTCAAAGAGGATGACGCCAGAGAGGTATTGAAGTGCATTAGGAGCAGTGAAAAGAAGTTCGCGAAGAGCTTGACGGTTGGCCTCGATGTTCTCAACGTTGATGCTTGCTAGACGCTTGCCAATGGTCCCTGTGCTCTCATCAGCCGCCAAGATACCCTTGCCAGGGGTGGCTATGTACTTGGCATTCTTGATAAGCTCGTCTGGATAATAAAACACCTCATATGGAATGAAAACCACGCAGTTTATTATCATTACATGAACTTGATAATCAGGATTGAAGTTGAGGTGAGGTAGCTTCATAGACAAGACGACATGAACGATTATGATTTGACACTTTAGAATGACTAGTATGTTTAGGCTATGCCACATTTCTAGGCTACTAGTTTCCAAAACTATCCTTCTTAACTATTAGTCGTATGTTTTTATCATGAATGTAAAAAACAAATATAATGATAATAGTGCAGATAATACTAACATGAGTGTAGAATAAAAACTAAAGTAAAAATGAAAAACCAAAACAGACTTATTTTGAAACATATTTTACACTAAAAAGACGGTTATTTTGTAACAAATAGAAGTATTTCATTAGATTGGAAAGTTTTACAAGCTTGAAGTACAAAAGTAATTACTGTTCTAGTAGAGTGAGTAAGCTTACATCAGAAGAAGAAAGAGGAGAATGAGTTACCTGCATACTTTCCAACAAAGGCAGACATGCTTTGAAATTGATATTGTATGGCGGGAACCAAACAGATAACAGACGACAGCACAAAAACTGAGGTTAGGCAATACCTAAGTTATATAGATAAACCACTAAAGGAATATACCAAGAACTTCCTACCCAACCAATGCAAAGACAACATGTGTCCAGTGATTTAGCCTAAGGAAGTTTATCACTCTTGGATAGAGCAATGAGTGATCCTTCTCCTTGCCAAGTGGCAACTCATCCTTTTCAATAATACCAACATATTTCAGTAACCTCATAAAAGATAAAAAAGAAATTTTGTGGTCATGTTCATCATCAACTAGGACTTGTTTCTTTCTGAAAATATCATGCCTACATACAAATTGAGATATTAACCTAAGGGATAATATCCTAATTCCTAGTATGTGGATTGTTTGCAGAACTCTGTCTCAGCCACATTTAAAAAAGATATATTGTCTTTTTCAGAATCAAGTTCAACATTCAAGATACATGTACATGCGTGTAACTCACTCCTGCATATCTTCAGTTGTGAGTTGATTGAATAGAATTAAATAAGCTAGGGAATGTGAAGGCCTATCATACTTTGAAGACCAAGAAATTGTACAACTCCAATAAAATAAAATTATTATCATTTCTACAATTATATGAAGTATAAATCTCAGACTTCATGAACATGTATCATGATAAATCAGTATCGGGCAAGAATAAGTTGAAAGAAAATTTCTGATATAATAACAAAAAATTATACAAATTTTGCTTTGGAGAATTCCAACTATGTGCTTTAAATAAAGAAAAACAAGGATTGTGATCAAAATTGATTTAAAACTAGCATTCAGATCCTGGAATAATCCTAATTCAGTAAAGTCTAAGCTTTTTCGTTAAATAACGATCAACCAAAAATTACTGTGGATTTTGCCCAAGAATAACTACTGGGAACGGGCCTCCACCTTGCTCGTCATCATCATCTGTTCCCCAAACCCATCCTAGAAATGACATGGAAATCTTCATGGGAACCAATCAGTGGAACATTCAGCAGATTGTGCTACGTTGACCTGAGGCTGAGAATCAGGTAACGTGCCGAAGTAACAGGGTTTGATGCAGTGGAGGAGACGGTGTGGGCCGCAGTAGCTACGGTTTGCGAACTGAAATTGGTTCACAGATGGAATTAATTGAACTAATTAGACTTTGAATGAGCAGGAGAAAATCAGAGACAGAATAATCTTAGATGTCAAAACATTTATCCTCGGAAATCTTTTGCAGACCACGTGCACACCTTGAGGTGCCTGGCAAGACAAGAGAAAGTGCAAATCACTGGATACAAGAAAAGACAGGCAAAAGAAAATAATGAAAAAAGCAAGATATGCATAAGAGACAAAGATAGCAATAACTTACTGACATGGATTGAGAAAATATAATATTGGACTCTGGTACATCCTTAAAATTAAAGAAATTGCTTGAACAGCAGAATTACCTGAAGATGAAGAAGATATTATAAGGCTAATCAAAACGGGAAGAAAAAAAATTAAATGTCAATTTTAAATCACCCTAATTATGCTAACTGCTGCATAACTTAAACTTGCAGTTGCAGTAGGCAGCTGATGATGGTTCATGTGCATTTTTACATGCAATAAATCATTTAGAGATTTCTCGACTGCTAAAAAATGAAGGACTAAACTGGAAAAAAATTGGTCCATGCATGATTTCTAAAATGGTCAATGGAAGGTAATTAATTCAGAAGCGAAAGACTCTAAGATTTTGTTACTCAACAAAGTCACAGAGCAATGGATAACCAGTTCCAAGAACAGCAGACACTAACTAAAGATAAAATGCCTATTTTCACTTTCCATTCGATAACTATGATTTATCTCTCATATGAATGTTCAAACTGAATAGCTATGTGTATCTATCATATCAATGTTCACCAAATTATATTTAGATAATTACACACTACAATGTTTAGCATTAAATTGACTTACACAATATAAAAGGTATTGAAGCAATTTTTACATTGATTTAATTTTGTATTGACCATCAAAAACAAAAGAGTAACTGACTTGTTTAAAAACTGAAATATTCATCTTGTGTTGTTCATGCATCAGCATGCACAAAACACACCTTAGACCAGTTTTAACTTAAACATACATTACAAGAATGACACGCCTGTGCCTAAGATAGGATCCAACAGTAACACATGCCTATCTGAGATATCATTTGGAAACTTCTCATATATTTGTTGCTCAATAATCAAAGGATGAGTTATGCATTATGAAATGAAACAAATAGACATATACTAATTCTGAAGCATATATGCAGATGCAAAACCTGCTGAATGCTGTCACCTTCTCTACGAATAAGAACTTTTACAATCTTGATACTTGTGCAGCATGCTCGTAAATCCTATGTTTTCCCCACTGAAATTAGATCATTATATCAAAATTAAGGACTTTTTTTTTGTTTTCCTAAGAAATGAATTTAATTGAAAACCTGTAGTGATGGGTTCTCATCAAACTGATTAGTATGGTATGCTCCCGGGATAGCGCCTGGAGCAGACGCTATTAATAACTCTGGTATGGAAAAAAGTACTTGTCTCTTAAAGCATAATGGGGATAAACCTAGATGATAATTTCAAGGAAAACGAAAAAAACAGTTAGCACTTCAAGCAATCTAAGCAATTTCCTAATTCCAAACACAAATCGGCAAAAGATCATCCATTTGTTTATGGAAATCAGGAAATGTTTAAGGAGGAATAAGAGAAAACTCAAGACAATATTTTCAACCAAAGATGCCAATATTTATAATGAAAACACCATACAACAACAACAGGTCAACTTCCGCCATAATGTTCTATCCAGGACTATACTTCAATCCAAATCGTTAAACTCGAGATCTTTCTTAATGACTTCTCTTATAGTTCTTCTAAGTCTTTCTCTACCTCTAGTTGTTTGACTCCTCTCCATCTGATCTACTCTCCTTACTACAAAATCTACAGGTCTTCTTTCTACATGCCCAAACCTGATAGAGAAAATATAAAGCCATTACCTTTGACTTGACACTGACTCGTTACAGGGAAAATAGGCTTTGGAGCAAAACGGAAATCATCACACACTGCTAGTGCCCTGCAGTTAAAAATGCATAAAGATAGACTTTTCAAAAGCTATCATGGCAGAGATTTGTCTATTTGGTTGATTGGTATCAATTTTTTATAGTCTCTTTGTTGTATTAGATACAACCTTTTGATGTTAAATTGATCTACATGTATATCACTCTAAAAATGTAAATAAATAAAAATTCTTAGGGAGTATTTTATGTAACATGATAGAATGTATGAAACATCTGCAAACAGCAAAATATATTCAGAAAAATTCACCCAGGGAAAGAGGACCGCGGGTTCAAATGCCCTGGTATTACAGTTTTTCACTATAGAAATTACTGATTAAACATCATGAACAATAGGGCCTATTTTATGTATATGAACATAATATATGAATCATCAGCAATATAAATTCACAAAATGTGTCAAATGTTGATGAGGAGGCAGAGTACCACAGTCATTTCCATGGATTTCCTTATTAATCTCATAAGAAGCAAGGAATCATTTAAATAACACCAACACAATGAAAATCAATGAATCACCATTCTCATATTCTCGTCCGTTTCAAACATCAGTACAGCCACTCCTTAATACTGATCAGACTCACTCATATCGTAAGTTCATACCATTCATTCATTACTAAAGAAAGACAAATCCTTAACAAGTTATCAGTATATTAAAAATTTACAAGTAGGAGCCAACAAGACTCAGGTTTGAAAGGAAAAAAAAAGTGTTCTCAATTCTCAATTATGCAAGGTCATCATCATCAAGCATTTTAAGTCATTTGGTTAAAACAAAATAAAATTCTATAATAATAATAATAATGAGATGGCAAGAAATGACATGGATATGTAGATGAACCACACATTGATCAACATTACAATCATAACGAGATTAGCTCTCTAATCTAAAAGTCAATTTTCATTTCACTTGGTGCAAATATTTACTATCATAATAAAGTTTCACAATTTCATAACAGTAACAAACAAACTATTGACAAAATAATCAGGGAAATGTCATCTCATAAAAGCTTTAGCGAAATCCACTATTTCCTTCAATAGTTTTCTGGTCTTCTTGGACTTCTTCTGTTTTACCTTTTTGGTCGGGAGAGGCATTTCCCTGATGGGGCCCGGGGGTAAACCCTTTTTCAGTGCACTTCCTCTGGGTGTAGCAGAGGGGGGAATTCTCAAGCTCTGAGGAGGTAAAGGAGTGTGTTGCTTCCAGACCAAGTTACTTTCCATGGAAAATTTTACGTTCTTGGAACTCTTCTCCCTGCTCTTTGCTAATGCAGAGACATCTTCCACATCTGCAGTGTTCAAATCAAAATCCTGAGATGTCTCTCCTTTAGAGTTCTCTGTTCTCTTTCTCTTCTTGCATACAACCCCCTGAGAGGTCTCTCCTTTAGAGTTCGTTGTTCTCTTTCTCTTCTTAGATACAACTCCAGTAGCAACACCATCATCCAAACATGCTTCTGCATCACTCTTCTTAATCTTCCTCTTCTTCTTTTTCGGCTTTTTCACTTTGTCAACAGAATCCAGCACTACCCGATCAACAGAGTCAGGAATGGAAAACTCGAACCCAGAATCAAAAACATCCTTCTCCAACTTCAAGAACTCATTGTGCAATTCAAACAAAACCTGTCTATTGCTCTGAACACAACCCGGATCAGAAGCCAACTCAAATAACTTGGAAGAAAAACCCATAACCAAAGCTATTGTTCCCAAATTCACAACATGAGCATCACCACAACCACTTTTCTTAACCTCCAACAAAATTCTCCCATTCATCAACAACACATCAAAAAACCAACTCTTAATCTTCCCTAACAAAACCTTATCACGCAATTTAACCACAGCAGAGAAAAACGGTCTAAAAAGCACTTGTAAAACACTCAACTTAACTGGAAGAAAAGGCATAAGCTCTTGAAGAAAAACAGAAGCAACATAATAATTAACACGTTTTCCCTTTCCCTTAACAAACTTATCTTTGGCAGAAAAAGTGGACTTATCCAAACAATTCATAACAAGATTAACCAATTCCAAATTCCACGAATTCTTATCAAGTAAAGAGAAAGCGTTCGATATAAACCTACGAATAAGGAGATAGAATTTGTCTAACCTAACGGAATTGATACCGGACCATTCATGACGCATGGTGAGGAAGAATGTGGAGAAATACTGAAGAGAGCGAGAAGGATGACGGAATGTTGAGAGATATGAAGCGATGCGATCGATGAGGTCGGCTTGAACGAGAGATTTGTCGGAGTAATAAACGCAGTAGAAGATACCTTTCCATAGTTTTTTGGCGACGTTTTGAGGGAGAAGGTGGCGGGAACGCCATGATTTTAAGAGAATGCGGATTGCTTTGTCTCTCGAAGATTTCTGAGAGGAAGAGAGCTTTATCGCCGGCGAGAGTTTAACTTCTGACGACGACATGACGCATGGAAGAAGAAGAAGAAAAGAAAGAAATTGAAGTTTTGATTTTGATTATAATTTGTGATTTAAATATTGGGTTAAATATGATTTAGATTTAAATATTGAGTTAAATATTATCATATTTTAATCACAATTTATTAAAATAGATATAAAAAGATATGAAAAAAGTCAATGCATAATATATTTGTAATTTATTAAAAAGTTAAAAATTAGTAATTTCTTACAAAGTCAAAACTTTAATGCAATAATAATAATATAATAATATTAATAGAAATTATAAATGCTAATGTTGGGAAAATATATTTTATCATGTTTAAACAATTGTCTTTAATTTTTATTAATAGTGCTGTATCTATTCACTAAAGTTATCTCCGTTAAGTTTAAAAAGAATAATTTTTTTCCATTAATAGTTTACCGATATGTTTTAATGTTATTTAAGAAATCTCAAATAATTTTTTCAAGATTTAATTGATAAATTTTTATAGTATAATTTTGCATTGTTATTCAATAAAAATTTATAATCTGATATAATAGAATACATAAGTAATTAGTTGACAGTATAAAAAATATTTTTACACCATTAATAAATATCAATTAAACTCTTTCTTAAATATTAAAAAAATCTTTATTTCTTAATTGATATGCTACAAACTAAATATTTGAAATATAAATTTAGGATATTTGTATAAATTTTTTAAAATTCAACAAATGCACTTTATAGATGTGAAGAAGAAGATGTTTATCATCATGTTAGCTTAGTTTTAATAACAAATATATTTTCTTTTGGAATTTTTTTTCTTTTTTTAAGGTGTCAGTTATCTCACTAAAAATTTAAATTTTTAAGGTATTTTTGAAGACACGTCTTTGGATAAACTTTAAATCACTTTAATTTTCGTAAATCAAACATCCACTTCATTTTTTTTGTCAAAAGTTAATCTAAAGATACATCTGTGAAATTTTTAAGAGTAAATTTGAATATACATCTTTGAAACACAATCCTGAATTTATTTACTACGCATTTTTTATTGAGTTGATTTATTTCTTCTTTTAGTAATGAAATTCACAATGCAAAGAAAATTTTAAATCATTATACAGAGAAATAAAAAAGAATATTTTGATACAATTCACATTATGGGTGCGCTTCCCTGAAATAGATCATTTTATAGCACGTGCATATAATAGGATGTACATCCATCTGACAAGATATGGTTTTTCGGAGACATTTTTTCCACTTTGGGGTGGCTCACCTCAAGATCCATCTGGGCGCATCATGTGTATTTAGTGACTTTCAAAATCGCAATATTTTGTTGAGGTTTATTTGAAACTGTTGTGTCTTATACCAAGTACATTATTGGAGTGAACGACACATTCCACAAAAGAGACGAAAACTTGACCGGATTCTGAAAAGGATAGAAGAGTTCACCAAATTGAACGAGTTTGAAAGAGAATCAAATAAGATAAAGTAAAAGGAGGAACCATTAGTAGATTTAGGCGATGGTGTATCTTTTTATACATTTTAGATTATAATTGATACACTTTTTTGAATGTATTGTTGTCAACGATGAAATCTCGATACGATTTAATACATAAGTAATATATATTTAGCCATGATTGTATAAATGTTGATTGTTTTTGTTTACAAATTATGGTATATAATTTATGTGTATGTTTACACAATTTCTAGTGTGCTTGTGGCTTAGGGTGATTCCTGATATGCATCTTTTTCAAATAGGCTTCATATTAAAAAAATTTAAAAAAATCACATCATAGCACTTTACAGATGTGCATATCCGTAAACACCATTTTCTCATAAAAAATTAAGATGTATTCGTAGATGTATCTCTGAAAATTTTCTGATGACAAGATAAGGTTTCTAAAATTCAAAGTGATCCAGAAGTTGCTGATCGTACCTGACTAGAAGGGAATCAGTGACCTGCCACGCGTCGTTGATCTGCTAGTTGTCCACCAAAGGTAAGAAAAAGGAGAGGATGTACCTGAAACACACTCCGATGTCAAAGTAAGTGGCGGGCAGAGTGGAAGCAAGTACAGAGAGAGAGTGAGAGAATTAAGTTACCTGACCCTCTAGTGAAGAGAGTATTTATAGTGAACCTCCAGCGCAGGGCCAACGGTTACTTAGCACTAGGCTGGGCTGCCAGGCCGAATGTTAGTAACTGCTAGGGCTGACGTGGCGTCGCGAATACCAGCACGTGGTCTTCGCCCTAGGGTAACTGTTCTGCACTATCTGGGAGGTGGAAGACCAAATCTCCAGGACGTGGGTAGTTACTTTATGACGTGTCTCTGCGTGAGGGACACATGAAGAACGTGGGGGGGGGGGGGGGGGGGGGGGGGCTCGAGGAGCTTCCCGGGCAGACTGGGCTCTGCCCGACGAAGGGGAAGACAGAGGTCGGTTGGTCGGCTGCGAGGATCCTGTCCGACAGCTGAAGGCTTACGCCCGACGGGTTCGTGCCCGTCAGTGGGGTCTTATTGGGCCCAGCCTCAGAAGGGTTTGGGCTTGCACGAGTGTGGGTTATGCTTCAGCCTAGTCCAGAACAGTTGTATAAATAGAGTGTCTCTCATTACATATTTTCTACAAAAACACACCACAAACAGAAAATGAATACATATCGTCACCTTGAATTTGTGTATTTCAATGGCGCTTCAATTTAGAGTCACCAAGAACACACATCTCGCTATTTGATATTCAAACTGAATATGCTCCTGCGATATCCAAAAAAATCAAAGAGTTGTTAAGATTGAGTATTGTACACTCTCACTTGACAACGAAAGGAAGATACATTTCACCATCTTTGAATTGAAAACAAATGAAGATTTAAAGATTATGTGCAAAGATTATGTGCAGTACCTTTTACCGTTATGTATCAAAGAGTATGACTAAAATGGATGTGAATATTGCAAGATCCTTCGAAGATATTATCAATATGTTGTAATATCTTCAACTATCCGTTTATAAAGATGTGTAATATTAAATTTATATTAATGATTATTTATGTAATGTTTAGAGTTTTAATTTAATGTCAAATTGTTTTTATTTTTAGATCTTGCTCATATTTTTTTTGTTTGTAGTTTGAAGTATCAGAATCATTTTCGAATATACATCTCCAAAATATATCAAATAAACTTTTGGAGATGCAATTTTAGACTAAATTAAGTATAATAGGAATATCTTATTCATTTGCAATCAATTTTAAAGAAAATAAATGCGTCCAAAAATATATTTCTGAACTCATAGACCTCTTTTAATTTTCATCAAAAAATTGTGAGAAGATCGATAGTAAAAAAGATTACCTTTCTATTTGTAAATGAAGAGAACCATGGTCCTAATATTACACATCAACTATGCTCCTACGTGAGGTTGCTTTTGTATCATCAATGTACATATTACACATCAACTATTAATGTATGTATATTTCATTATAAATTGACTTTTACTTGTCTCAGTTTTCATTGGAATTATGATTTCTACACCTATTAAAAATTGTAAATCTCGGAAAGAAAAATTCTAGTATAATAAAAGATTATACAAAATTTGCATAGGAGAATTCCAATTATGTGCATTAAATAAAGAAAAACAAGCATTGTGATCAAATTTAATTTAAAACTAGCACTGAGATTCCGGCAGAGACCCAATTCAGTAAAGTCTAATCTTTTTCGTTGAATGACAATCAACCACAAAATATTGTGGATTTTTGCTGAGAATAACTACCGCAAAGGGGTTTCCATCGTGCTGTTCATCATTATCTGTTCCATACTAGACATTGTAAAATGAAACAAACAGAGACATACTAATTCTGAAGCATGTATGCAAACGCAAAGCCTGCTGAATGTTGTCAACTTCTCTACGAATAAGAACTTTTACAATCTTGATACCTCTGCAGCATGCTCGTAAAGCCTATGCATTGACTAATTCCAAGGAAAACTGGCTTTTGAGCAAAACGGAGATCATCACACACTGCTATAGTGCCCTGCAGTCAAAAATGCATAAAGATACGATTGTCTATTTTGTTGATCGGTATCAATTTCTTATAGCTTCTTTGTATTAGATACAGTCTATTGAGGTTAAATTGATGATGTAGATAAATATAATTCGTTAGGGACTATTTTATGTACATGATAGAAGTATGAAACATCTGCAAACAGCAATAAATATTAACAAAATCTGTCAAAACTTCACCTGGGGAAATAGAACCGCAGATTCAAATGGCCTGGTGTTTTTTCAGTATGGAATTTATTGCAATTAACATCATGAACAATAGACTATCGAGTATAATTATATGATAACCATATTACACTAGTGGTTTCACCCTTTCCATGGACCCTATGGACTTCCTTATTAATCATAAGCAAGGTATCACTTAAATAATACCAACACAATGGAAATCAATGAACCATCATTCTCAACTTCTCATCTGCTTCAAACATAAGCAGTACACCGGCCACTCCTTAATACTGATCACAAACTCATTCATATCACAAGTTCATAACCCTTCACACATTCCTAATGAAAGGAAAATTCTTAACAAGCTATCAGTATATTACAAATTTACAAGTAGAAGCCAACAAAGCTCAGGTTTGAAAGAAAAAAACAGTGTTCTTAATCCTCAATTATTCAAGGTCATCATCATCAAGCATTTTATGTCATTTGGTTAAACCAAAATAAAATTCATTAATAATAATTATAATAATAATAATAATATTAATAATAATAAGATAGCAAGAAACAACATGGATATGCAGATGAACCACACATTATTAAATTATTAAACATTACAATATTTAAGAGATTAGCTCTCTAAGCTAAAAGTCAATTTTCGTTTTATTAGTGCAGAAATTTATTATAATGAAGTTTCAAAATTTCATAACAACGCACAATTGATAAATTAAGTCAGGGAAATATCATCCCATAAAAGCTTTAGCGAAATCCACTAATTTCATCAAGCGTTTTTTGGTCTTCCTGGGCTTCTTCCGTTTTTCCTTTTTGGTCGGGAGAGGCATTTCCCTGATGGGGCCTGGGGATAAACCCTTTTTTAGTGCGCTTCCTCTGGGTGTAGCAGAGGGGGGAATTCTCAAGCTCTGAGGAGGTAAAGGAGTGTGTTGCTTCCATACTAAGTTACTTTCCATGGAAAATTTTACTTTCTTGGAACTTTCCTCTCCACTCTTTGCTACTGCAGAGTCATCTTCCGCGTCTGCATTGTTCAAATCAAAATCCTGAGATGTCTCACCTTTAGGGCTCTCTGTTCTTTTTCTCTTCTTACATACAACCCCCTGAGATGTCTCTCCTTTAGAGTTCTCTGTTCTCTTTCTCTTCTTAGATACAACCCCAGTAGCAACACCATCATGCAAACTTGCTTTTGCAGCATTCTTCTCAAACTTCTTATGGAGGTTTGAAATCACACTCCCATTAAAAACCAGCTTACCATCACCACCAGCAACTTGTCCATCATTTGAATTTCCACCATTTTCACTAACAACATTCTTCTTACCACCATTCTCATCAGAATTCATTTCATAATTCAAATCATATGCATCACTCTTCTTAATCTTCCTCTTGTTCTTTTTGGGCTTTTTCACTTTGTCAACAGAATCCTTCTTGCCTAAACCATCAACCTCAACAATGGGAACCGAATCCAGCACTACCCGATCAACAAAATCAGGAAAGTAAAACTCAAACCCAGAATTAACATCCTTCTCCAGCTTCAAGAACTCATGGTGCAATTCAAACAAAACCTTTCTATTCCCCTGAACACAATCAGGAGCAGACGCCAACCCATATAACTTCGAAGAAAAACCCATAACCAAAGCTATTGTTCCCAAATTCACAACATCGCCACTTTCCTCTCCACCTTTCTTAACCTCCAATAACCTCTTCCCATTCATCAACAGCACATCAAAAAAACCACTCTTAATCTTCCCTAACAAAACCTCATCATGCAATTTACCCACCGCAGATAAAAACGGCCTAAAAAGCACTTCTAAAACAGACAACTTAATCGGAAGAAAAGCCCTAAGCTCTTGAAGAAAAACAGAAGCAACATGATAATTAACACCGTTTCCCTGAACAAACCTATCTTTTGCAGAAAACGTAGACTTATCCAAACAATTCACAAAAAGATTAACCAAATCCAAATTCCATAAATTCTTATCAAGTAAATACAAAAAGCTTGATATAAACCTACGAATAAGGAGATAGAAAATGTCTAACCTAACGGAATCGATACCGGACCATTCGCGACGCATGGTGAGGAAGAAAGTGGAGAGATACTGCAGCGAGAGAGGAAGATGATGGAATGATGAGAGATGTGAAGCGATGCGATCGATGAGGTCAGCTTGAACGAGAGAGTTGTCGGAGTGGTAGACGCAGTAGAAGAGACGTTCCCAGAGCTTTTTGGCGACGTTTTGAGAGAGAATGTGTTGGGATCGCCATGATTGTAAGAGAATGCGGAGAGCTTTGTCTCTTGAAATTTGTTTAGAGGAAGCTAGATTTACCGGCGGGGATAGTTTAACTTCCGTTGACGGCATTGTCTCCGATGCCGGAAGGAGGGCGAAAAGAGAGAAATTACTGTTTCGATTTTGATTTTCTTTTTTGTTGTTGTTGTAATTGTCGAAATCGCTTTGTTAACTACAATTGTGATTTAAATATTGGGTTAAATATGGTGTATATTTAAATGTTGAGTTAAATATGATATCAAATTTTAATTATAATTTACTATAATAGATACTATAAAAAGGTAAGAAATAATTCACACTGTATATTTAAATCATTAAAATGTTAACAAATTAATAATGTAATATAGAGTAAACTATTTGATACAATAATAATAATATTATATAATTAAAAAAAATTATAAAAAACATTCATTTATTCAAATTGGTTACTGTCGCTACTGTGAAAATCGGCGCCGGCTGACAGAAGAGTCGCCACCGTGCGTTATTTATCCCACGGGAGGGAAAGGAAACGCTTAGAGTAAACCTCGCACAACACGGGAAAGGTATGGTCATCGCAACCAAAACCTGGGTTCGGGAGTCGGTTACGCAAGGGGAAGGTATTAGCACCCCTCACGTCCGTCGTACTCGACGGGTCCACGCTTGTTTTCGGGTATGGATTGTTATTCTATCTACTCTAAAGGTCAAGGGTTAAAAAGAAAATAAAATGAAAATAAAAATGACTCGGCAAAGTATCGCACTTTATGCCTACGTATTCCCGCTTGGAACGAGAAATCAGAGTCAACGTAGTTCGCCTACCTACGGGAAAGGAGGGGAAGGTTGCTCGCTAGGATATCGCATCCTATGCCTACGTACTTTCATACGGCATGAAAGATCAGAGCAAACGTAGTTCGGGCCACGTATGACACAAGCTTGTCTTGATTGATTTTATTTCCTTCTGAAAAAGGTTTTTCTGATTAACAGTCCCAGCGGACAAAAATGACGTCTTGATGAGTTCACGTTCTTTTACGGAAGAAGTGTCTTTTATTGTGTTTGAACTTTTTATTGTGTTTTTCTGTTTGTTTTGAGGAAGAAGAGACAGAATTCTAACCTACGGCTGCGAAGGGAAACAAACTAACCTAATGTTATCATGCATGGGTTAAGACCTAGTGTCTATCATGCTCCTCTCTTGCACAGAGAGAAACAGAGATCCTAAGGGAATAGACGGAAATAGAAACAATATCAAATATATACAGTAAAGCAGTAAAATGCATGAATGCAACAATACAAGCGAGGCAAGGGAGTCCCACTCAACCTCGAACCTAGAAAACAATAGGCAAAAGTGAACAGGCTTCACTTTCAACCCAACAGGGTAAACAGCAAACAATACAGCCAGGAAAACCAATCAATACATCAGATATGAAATACAGCAAAAATAAACAGCCACAGCAGCTCTGCATCAACACCTGACTTCAAGTAATCTCCAATCAGCTACAAGCTTCAGCAAGCATCAATCTCCATCTACACAGCTTTCCAGCAAGGGCTTGATCATCAATCTTCAGTCTACAATGGCTTTTCTTCAAGTCTCCCACTTCAGGAGAATCATCAGTCAACAAGATGAAGTGAATGAATGTTAGACAGTTAATTACCTACCAAGGGTGGTTCATTAACTGTTAACATTAATCAGACAGTTTCCTCTCAAAAGTTATATCTTTCAAATATATTCACTGATCCTTCCAAAGGAAGGAGGTGGATATTTGGAAGAGACTTTGAATCACAGAGAAAGGATGGATGCAGACAAGGCATTCCGTGTTTGAGAAACAAGCTTTCTAATCTAGAGCTCTGCCTAGCTCCTAAACCCTAATCTCCTCAACAGCTGCTAGCAAGAATCTCCTCTCCAACTCTGGAAGTTGGTCTTCAGTCTCCGGATCTCCAATGGCTTCAACATCACAAGCCTTCAGCTTCCCCAATCCCCAGACAGTCCCAATACCCACACAGACAAACAGTAATCCCCAAAGGGCACACCACACCAAGCAATCACATATAACAGTATATACTAATAGCAGTAGGGGAATCCTAGTGATTTCTAAGGGGAACTATCCTAAACCCATAACCCCTATAGTCCATACCCCAAAAATCAAATGAAACTATTCTAAAAGAATTAAACTATTTCACCTAAGTTGATTTAAAACCCTAATTATGTTCATGTTGTTTTCACCTAAGCTAATCACCTAAAACTAACTCCTAAAAATGTGAACTAAATTGCATCTACAAGATAACAATGTCTATTAATCAACCTAAAAAGAATGGACAAAAAATATTAAAGCATTGGTTAGGACAAAAATTAACAAATTTATGTATGAAATTAAACTATTTAAAATGCTATTTATTTGGAAAATATGGAAAAAATATCAAATAAAAAATAAAATGCAATTTTTATTTTTTATGATTTTCTAGACTCTTTAAAGAAAATTATGCAAAAAGAATTATCAAAAAATAATGTTTTTTCAATTTTATATGATTTTTCAAAAATGAATGCAAAATGAAAAGAAATTAAAAAAATAAATTGTAAAGAAATAAAAGGAGGGGGTATGAAGAGCAAACGCGCTCAGTTCATATTCCAGGTGGGCTGAGAAGTGGGGGGTGCGAACATTAATTGTGTTAGGCCCACACGCGCTCAGAAATTGAATTGGAGAAAAGCCAAAAAAATAACAAAGTCTCGGTGTATTTAGCAATGCATTCACGTGTGTTTTAGTGGGCTCATCAATTGAGGGGTGTGGATAGTAAGCTGAGTCCAGGCCCAGAGCGGTATAATAAGTGAAACGCAGCGTTTCACATTTGAATTTTCCCTCCGTTTTGAAATTAAACAACAGCCATACGATCAGATTAACAAGTCAATTATTTTGGACAATCCAACGGCACACAGTCATCGTCCCCAAGGTGTCTAGGGTTTTGCAGAAAAACAGCTCCCATGCACAACATTCGAGCTCCTCATTCTCCTTCAATACGCCATGAAATCACACCCTTAAAAAACCAAAATCCATCCATTTCTTCCCCTCTACACGACCATAGCATCAATTCCCTCTAAAACTCAGTCAATAAGTCAATTCGATAGAGATAACAGATGGGATCCAACCTTTGCACCTGTGATCAACTCAACCAAAACTCACCAATTCTTGTCCTAAGTTCAACTACATTCCAAGATGATCTTAACATGCTAATCCAACCAGATTTTCATGCATTATCCTCATAATTACAAGCCTCAACAGTTTGTGAACTCCATAGCCAAACCTCACAAAACCTCTCCAAACTCTGTGAAAATCATCACCTAACCACCTAGGTCTCTAATACACTAACCATCCTATGCCATGATCACTATGCTAGCTAATTCGAAGGGAAACATACCTGCAATTTCTTGATAACAGGTGCTAAAATCTCTGAATCAAATGCTTGTGATGAATGGAAAATGATCAATAAGCTGGATGATTACTACTGTATGCAACAAGTATGATTCCAAGGCTTTGAATCACTCACTTCCAAGATTGGTGCTCCTTGAATGATGATGATGAATAGCACGATCCTTGCTTCAATATACCACACCTTTGATGAAATTCTGATCTAGGGATGATGATGATGAAGAACAAATCAAGAATGGTGAAGATTGGTGGAGATTTGAGAGTGTTTGAGATGCTTTTGCAAATTGGAGAAAGTGTGTATAACTTGGGGTTTTGAGAAAATGCAATCACCAACCATGGCATGAACCATCTTGTATCAATATATAGGTGATGTTAGAACCTCCTAGAAACTTGGAGAAGCTTCCCTTGCACAAATTCCCTTGGATTTGGTTTATGTGACTTCCATTACAAGCAACCATGGATAACTCCCAAAATGTGAACTATGCTCAAAATTCTACTTTATCCAATGTCTTTAAAATGATCTTTCCATTCAAAATGACCTATAATTTTGCTTCATTTGGCCAAGATATGAAAAATCTCATTTTTAAGTCCATTTTTATTCATTAAATCCACCAATTTTGAAACCTTGTGCTATGAATCTTTCCAACCTCTCATGGTCACTTTTATAGACTCAAAATGTCATTTGGAACAAGTTTTATGTTGTAAAGTTTTCCATTTGAAGCTTCCTTGCATGAGTTTTGGGCATAGGTTAAAATGACCTGTAATTCTCAAATGACCAAAATACCCTTTTCTTTCCAAGACCATAAGTAGAGTTCCACAAATCATATGAAGGCATAACATACCATTCTAGAAAGCTAAGACAATGAGGAACAACTCTTATGTTGACCATAAATTCATTTGAAATCTCCTTGAGGGGTAAAAATTGCTTGGAAGTCAAGTCACTTTCACAGACAAAATTTCAGACACCTCAGATGACCTGTAACTTGCAAGGATCATAACTTGAGTTCTATAAATCTCCTTGATGTCTTCCACCACTCAAATTAAAGGTCTTGATATCCTATACAAGTTTCATGTTGGCCAAGGATCCATTTGAAGCCTGCATTTTGACTTATCTTGCTTGGAAATTTGACCTAAACTAGGGGATTTTACATAAAAATCCTAATTTAGAAACTCCTCTTCTCCTTGATTTCTCTTGAATTCTTCTTAGCATAACAACATATACTTATTCTCCATGTCAAATGATGAACCCCACATCTCTTCAATAGCCCTCAATGCCTTTCAATCAATCCTTTGACCCAGGGTTGACCCAGGGTTGACCCAGATGAAACCCTAGTTGACTGTCTTCAACTGCAATACTTGTGACCACATCAATGACTTGTTTTCTTCTCCAAATTTCTTTCTAAGTCCTCCAAGATGTCTAGATACTCCTCATGCTCAGCCCACAGCTCACAATTTCTTTGATGATCCCCAGATACCCTCAGATAGGAGATAGATTGCTTGCTTGATCCAATGACTTCTTTAGGTTTCAATTTCTTTTCTGATGACTTGAATGAGATTGAATTAGAATAATAACCTCTTGATAGGCTCCTAGAGATGAGAATAATGATTGGTTCCTTGTTGAATGACTTGCTATGCTTATGCTATGCAGATGAGTAACCTATGTACATGACTCTATATGCA